TGTAATTCACAGAGCAGGCTTATAATTCAACCTGCAGGGGTGGGGTGGATAAAACAGGGGTTTGAGGAGGCTGAGCTTGTCAAGGGCAGAAATAATTAAGGAAAAACTTGCACATTCAGTGAATATAAAACTTGCAAAAAACCAGCCAATTTGGACGACAAAAAGGACTCTGAAAACACCCAGAAACACATGAAAAAAACCAAAAGCTCCAGAAGTAAAAACACTAGAAAACTAGTTGAAAAATAAAGCTGCCACCCCTCCTTGCTGTGTGCTCAAGGAAAGGAGAGACCACAGCCCTGCTTCCAGCTTCTTCCCAAAAATCCAACTTCTTCTTGCTTTCTCTCCTTATCACTTCACTCTCCTTCCTCAGTCATGGTCATCATGTGCAGCCAAATTCTTTTAATTAATGCAATTAGCTAACAGCCTCTAATAGCCCTTCTCCTTCTGCTCCAGGAGCAGAGGCTGCAGTGGCAGCTCAAGATGTTGAAGCTCAGATGCTGGGAAGGACAAAAGTGGTACCTAAGGGAGGTGGGGGTAGGGATCTGTACCCCAAGAACCCAAAAAGTTTCCTGTGAAGTCTCAGGAAAGAGCTTGGCAAACATGCACAGACTTTTAAGTATAACCTGGGCTGATTTGCTGGAAATAATATCCAAATATAAGCAGGAAAAAATGAAAAGCTGATTTAAGTGTCACTTGTACATCATGCTTTCATCCCTGCAAACAGCACACAGAGGTTGTTCCTGGTTTATCTTAATGGCCTATTTTGCTCTTACTTCTGTTTTCCAAGATATTATTTTCTGTTTTTCTGAGCTGACTTTTAGGTCTCCAGGTCTTTAGCCTGTGATTTTTGCCTGCATTTCAATCCAGACAAAAAAGTTGATTTCACCAGGAAAGGAACCCAAAACCAGGAGCAAGATGCTAAAGCCCAGAGGAATTCCTGGGCAGGTTTCTGTTGCAGTTTACATTTTTCTTCTTCAAAGGTGATGTGGGGACAGGCTGGGGGGGAGACCTGGGTGTCTCCAGAGCAGGCAGAGCTCAGCTCCTGCTACTCCACAGAGGGCTGTGAGCACAAACACAGCCTGATCTCCCTGGCACCAGTGAATAACCCACAGAAAACCTGTTCTTCTCAGGAATATTAATTTTCAAATACCAGAGGTTTGTGTCCAAAAAGGAGGCAGAGGAGTCCTGTAACTTTATTCAAGTAAGAAGAGGGGCCATGGGCATTTCCCTGGGGTCTCTCAAATGGTTAGAGAATGCAGCTTCCTTTTTATGTGCAGGTACAGACTTCCCAAATCACCTAAGACAGACCCCTTCTAATGTATACCCCCCCTTTTTCTTTTCTTAAGGAATTTCTGGTTCCTCCCATTGCTTCTTCCATCTCTCAGCATCCATCTTTACCCAGTTTGTAAGGACAGAGCCCTCTCACTCCTGGTTTTGGGTTACTTTCCCAGTGAAATCAACTTTTTTGTCTGGATTGAAATGCAGGCAAATATCACAGGCTAAAGACCTGGAGACCTAAAAGTCAGCTCAGAAAAACAGAAAATAATATCTTGGAAAACAGAAGTAAGAGCAAAATAGGCCATTAAGATAAACCAGGAACAACCTCTGTGTGCTGTTTGCAGGAATGAAATCATGATGTACAAGTGACACTTAAATCAGCTTTTCATTTTTTCCTGCTTATATTTGGATATAATTTCCAGCAAATCAGCCCAGGTTATACTTAAAAGTCTGTGCATGTTTGCCAAGCTCTTTCCTGAGACTTCACAGGAAACTTTTTGGGTTCTTGGGGCACTGATCCCTACCCCCACCTCCCTTAGGTACCACTTTTGTCCTTCCCAGCATCTGAGCTTCAACATCTTCAGCTGCCACTGCAGCCTCTGCTCCTGGAGCAGAAGGAGAAGGGCTATTAGAGGCTGTCAGCTAATTGCAATAATTAAAAGAATTTGGCTGCACATGATGACCATGACTGAGGAAGGAGAGTGAAGTGATAAGGAGAGAAAGCAAGAAGAAGTTGGATTTTTGGGAAGAAGCTGGAAGCAGGGCTGTGGTCTCTCCTTTCCTTGAGCACACAGCAAGGAGGGGTGGCAGCTTTATTTTTCAACTAGTTTTCTAGCGTTTTTACTTCTGGAGCTTTATGTACCAGCCCCCCAGTTTGTTTTTAAGGACAGATCTCTCTCATTCCTTGCACTCTAAGCACTGGGGAAGGCACAAGGGGCCAGGGCTAGGCTGTGCCCCTGTTCCCTGCCCTCCCCGAGCGCGTGGCTGCCAGGGCTGTGACACCAGTGCTGAGCAGTCCCACGTCACTGCTGCTGCCAAACTTAGCCCTGGCCCTGGAGGGGTCTGCTCAAATAGCTGCTGTTTGCTCTCCTGAGCAGGGCATGCCTCTGTCACAGCTTCCAGCCTTTGGGAAGAGGGCAGGGATGATTCATGCTTGAGGAGCAGGGGAAGGAAGGGGATGGTGTCAGCCCCAGCTCTCAGGGTTCCTCAGAAGATGTTTTACAGCAATGTTGAAGAAAAGCTGCTGTGCCTCTTCCAGAGGGGAATGGAGGGAGGATTAAGGGGCTGGATTAACTAGCACACCCCAATATTTTGTTATTTATCACAAGGAATTCTTGACTCTCCTTAGGCTGATCTTGTTTAATTGGAATACCACAAGGACTCCCTAATTCTAAAAGCCATGGAGCTCATCACAGTCTGGAAAGAGCCTCTCCATCAGCTGATAGCAACACCTGGAGAGAAACAGGGGCCTGGCTGTGGCTTCTGGCACAGGGTAAAACAGCACAGAAGCACCCAGTAGTGGCACAGCCAGAGAGGAGTGGAAAGGTTTTGTCAAAACCCATAGCATATTTTCCATATTAGAGCCAAGCTTGGGAAGTCAAGATGAGAAAGAGCCTTTAAGAAAAGAATTTCATTTCCTGTGTTGCAGGCTGCTGTATAAGAGGGTGCCTCAGGGGATAAGAGCAGAATTTTTCATGGGTGTGTTGTGTACTAAAGCAAGAATTCCTCCCTGTACATGGGTCAGAGATGTAAGAGAGGATCATAGAAAAAATTGGGTTGAAAGGGACTTTAAACCTCACCCAGCTCCACCCCTGCCATGGCAGGGACACCTTCCACTGTCCCAGGCTGCTCCCAGCCCCAGTGTCCACGCTGGCCGTGGGCACTGCCAGGGATCCAGAGGCAGCCACAGCTGCTCTGGGCACCTGTGCCAGGGCCTGCCCACCCTCACTGGGAACAATTCCTGATTGCCAATATCCCATCCATTCCTGTCCTCTGGCAGAGGGAGCCATTCCCTGTGTCCCCCCATCCCTGTCCCCAGTCCCTCTCCAGCTCTCCTGGAGCCCCTCAGGCCCTGGCAGGGCTCTGAGCTCTCCGTGGAGCTTCTCCTCTCCAGAGGAGCACCCCCAGCCTGGCTCCAGAGCAGAGGGGTCCAGCCCTTTCATCACTTTTGTGGCCTCCATTTGACTTATTCCAACAGCTCCACATCCTTTGGATGCTGGAGGCTCCAGAGCTGAACACTCCAGGCACCCAGAAGAGCATAAAAAACATAAAATCAGAGCCTGAAAGATGAGGGGGGGCACAGGGCTGGGAGGGAGGCTGTGCTGGGAGGTTATTTCAGTGCAGTTCAGCAGCAGAAGATGCAATTGCCCTCCCTGGGCAGCCTCTGGCAGGGCAGGGGCTGGAGGCACTGGGAGCTCGGCTCGGGCAGGGCTTTCACCCCCAGCAGCTCCTGAGGCTCGGGCTGGCCAGGGACACGGAGGGGCCCCAGCAGAGCCAGCCTGGAGTGCCAGGGAAGGGGCAGCAGCAGGAGAGTGGTGGCTGAGCAGCACCTTTTATTTATATTTCTATTATTTATATTTCTATTATTTTATTTTTATTATTTATTGGTATAGTTAGTTAGAGTTATATTTGTAGTTATAGTTATATTTATAGTTATATTTACAGTATTTATATTATTTATATTTCTATTTATGTTATTTATATTATTTATGTTTATATTTATATTGTTATATTAATATGTATAATATTTAAATCTATAGATATAATCTATATTTTAATTTTTAACGAATTTTAATAATTTTAAATTACTTTTGTATTTCAATTTCTATTTTATATTTTAATTTATATTTATAATATTTTATTTGTTTTTGTTTTATATATTTATCTATATTTATTTATATCTATATTTTATACATATATTTAGATATATAGTATATTATATTATATAATTACATATCATAATTATATACAATTATAAATATAAAATTATTATATCATAATATAATATAATATAATATAATATAATATAATATAATATAATATAAAATAATATAATATGATATAATATAATAATATATGCTGAGAGAAACTGAAGTTCCCTGGATCTATATCTCTATTTATTTAAATCTGTAGTTTCTATAGATATTTAGATATTTTTATATATATATATGTTAATATATATCTATATATCTATAGATATAACTAGAACATACATTGATTATATATTTGGATATTTATAATCTATCTAAATATATAGATATCTATCTCAATTTATATATCTATATATATAGATATAACTATTATATATGTTGATAATATATTTGGATATTTATATATCTAAATATATAGATATCTATCTAAATATATATATATCTATAGATATAGATATAGATATAGCTATTATATATATTGATTATATATTTGGATATTTATATATCTAAATATATAGATATCTATCTAAATATATATATCTATTTATATCTAAGTATCTACATAAAACACAGATATAAATAAATATAGCTATAGACCCCAGGGAACCTCAGTTTCTCTCAGCCACAGATTTGCTGCGTGACCTCAAAGAAGTTGCTAAACCTCCTCTTGTTTCTCAGTTCCCCATTTCACATCAAGGGACATTGGTTTGCTCTGCCAGGGTAGCTGTGATTATTTAATTAATTAGGGGAGTGTCATGTCAAGTTCATCGATATAAATTAAAATACACAGAATGGGGTTTGCCCATTTCCTTTAATTTTTGAGAACAAAGTAAGTAGGCAAAATCTTGTGCCCTTCAAAACCAAACAGAATCTTTCTTCGTGTAAAATGTTACATAAACCTTAGTGGTTGTTCATTTTTATTGTATTATTTTTAAGAATTCTGCAAATATTTCAGAAAAGGGCAGTTTGTTATTATTGCATAAAAAAATCATCACCACAGAGTTGGATTTTTTTACATTTTCCCCTCATATAATTTCAAAAAAACCCCCAACCACAATTAGGAAATTTACCCTCCCCACAAAATAAAAAAAAAAAAAAAACAACCAAAAAAGTTTTTGAAATCAGTAAAGCGTTAAAGAAATGAGCAATTAGGAGCCCAGGGAGCGCAGCAGCCAGCAGCAGCAGGGCCGTGAGCACAGGTGAAATGTCCGTGGCAGCACGGGGCAGCAGCTCCCGGGCAGGCACAGCTGCCTGGGGGCTTGGGCAGGTACCAAAGGACTCACACAAAGCACACCGAGCACTTTCTGTCCTACAGCAGCGTTTGTCCCCATCCCAGTGATGCTTTGGGATTTCTGCTTTTGTATTTTTCCACTCCTGTGCTGTGTTAGTGCATAATTTAAACTCCACACAGAGTGCTAGTTGCTGTCCTCACATTTTGGTCAGATGCAACAATTCCTCTCTGGGCCTGAATCTCAAGGGCACCTCACTGCCTCAAGCCCCAAAAAGTACAAACAGAAGTGAGCTGGGGGGAGCAGACTGGGGGTAAATGACTTCATCACCTGCAGCTGGAATTGGAGCATTAACCCCTGACATGGAAATGGCCCAAACTGAAAATTGTGTGAAAAACTGGTGCCCATCGCCCACCTTGGGTGCAGCCCCTGGAGGCTGTGGCTGCCCAAGCTGTGCCTGCTGAAGGCTTTAATAAATCCCCACGTTATTCTCTCCCCTCGCCTGGCTCTGCTCTGGGGCCCTCCAAGTCAGCAGCAGTTTCCTGTCCCATCTGCAGTGCCAAAACCACCGAGGCACCACCTCAGTGGGGTCACTTTGTGCCCACGGATGGCCCCAGGAGCTGAATCGCTTGGCACTTCCTCAGAGTCCTGACTGGCAAGGGAATGACACTGAAATCCAGGCCAAGCACAGCCCAGAGGTTCTCAGGAGTCCTGAAATCCAGACCAAGAGCAACCTAAAGGTGCCTCTCTCTTCAGTGATCAGAAAACACCTTCCATCCTCCCCGGGAGCAGCCATGACCACGCGTGGCTCTGGGGCCTCGGCTCTGCAGCCTGGAGAGAAAGCCCAGGAAGGGACAGACACGGGGCCACAAATACTCCTGATTTGTTGGGACTTCCAAAAATGTGAATTCCTAGATTTTAGAGTGTCAATGTCAATTCAGTTTCTTCACTGTAAATAAATCAATGGTTTCAATTCTGGGAATATTGCCAGTTTTCCCATGGGATGGAGTTTTGGCTCCTTCTGAAGGAGGCACGAAACGATGGCTCTGTGCCTTCCTTAATCCAGGTTTCTTCCAAATGTCCTGCTCCAAGCAGCTCACAATGGAGACATGCAAACAGGACTTAGAGGATTTGAAGTCCTCTGCTAGGCTTCAGCCTTGCCACACACAAAATATAGCCCTACAAATAAGATAAAGTAAAAATGAAATGGCTCTATTAGATTTAATGAAGTCACTCAAGACAAAGCAGTTCCATAAAAATGTTTTTTTTTAAGAAGCAACAGCAAGAGCTCAGAGAAGTGCTGACTGCAGGTACAGTTCTATCCAATATTAAGATATATTTAGTGATTTCTAGGGAAATATTTTCTTGGGAGAAGGTCAGGAGACATTTCTGTTTCTTACAACTCCAGGTGCTGTGTCTGAGCTCCGGTGGGTTGGAGTTGCAGAGAAAGCAGCAGGTTTTATGACATTTCTTCTGGGCTGTCTCTTGTCTCTGCCCCCAAATCCTGTGCAGTGCAGGACACTGTTCCTCCACAGGTTTTGCACACAACCATCAAATAACAAAAACAAGCCAAGAAAAAATTGTCCAGAACAAATAATAGTGTTTGAAATATTATCAGGTAAAAAACCCACATCCTAAGCCAGAGCTTAGTTTTCGTTCTGGGGCATCTGCACACCTCCTGGAAGAACCGTCCAGCGGCTGGATCCACGTACAAAACCAGCTTAAAGCCAGGGTTTTAACCCTAACCAGTCCAGAGCAAGAGCTGACTGAAAAACCCAGCACTGCTCCCTCTGTGCCACCGAGGGGTCACAAGAGCCCTGTGTGAACCCCTCCCTGCAGCACCCAGAAATCACCTCCCGGGACTCCTGCACAGATCAAGGACATCACCCCAACCTTCTGCTAAAGAAATTCCTCTGTGATTTCAGTCCAAGCCTCCATCCCATCCCGGGCAGAGGAATCACTGCCTGATCTGAGGGGACCTGGAAAGGACCTTGAGGAGGAATCAGAACCCCATGAGTTGCAAGGGTCATCCAGTCCAGCTGCTGGCCCTGCACAGGACACCCCAAATCCCACCGTGTGCCAGCAGAGGAGCTGTGTAGTGCTACACATTGGCATTGTAGGATCCTGGATTCCTTTGCAGGGGAATGAGTTGTAGAGACAGAGAGAGCCCTAAACCTGGCCCTAAACCTGTTCTTTTCCTCTCAGAACATCTCCAGCTCTGTGAAATCACCTTGATCTCCTGTTGGAGGAGCACACACAAACACAGGTCACTCCAGGGAGTGGGAAGTGCCGGCCAAAATTCAGGAGCAGCCACCCATGGAGGAGAATGGCAAGGTTTGGGAGCACATCCTGTCAGAGACCAGGAACTTACAGCAGCAAATTCAGAGCCCTTCAGAACCAGCCTCTATCCAATCTCCAGGAAAACAGTGGCTCAGGATGGGCCCGTTCCACATTTGCAGCCCTGCTGAAGCCAGTGGAGGGTGGAGGGAAGGAGGTGGGAGCAGCTGAGGCGCCGTCAGCATCACCAAACTCGCCCTGAAAGGAGATTTCTTCCCAAGCAAACCACAGGATGGGCTGGTTCCCTTTATATACACACACGGAGAGCTGAAAAGGGCTGAAATGCTTACAGGTTAGAAGGTCTATACAACGTTACACCTGCCACAAATCAAAGTAGAAAAGTTTTACAGCACATTATACAGGTCCCTCTAAAGTCTAAAAAAAAAACCAAAAAACATTGACTGGAATCACCATATTACAAGTCAACACTAACAGACCATATCATACTATTTCTTTTTCTTTTACAGAATCATTACAGATAGAGTAATTTAAAAAAATCACTTTTTAAACAAGTATACAATTTTCACTTTAAAATTAACTGGTTAATAAAATTCTGTGCAAAACAAGCCAGCCTCTATAATTAAGTGAATTTATTTATTTCTTTATACAAAAAAAATAAAACACCAAAAAAAAGTTCTTTCAGAAATGTGTCTCCTTTTCTGTGATGGTGGAAATGTTGCCATCTCCTTTCAGTTTGGCATCGCAGTCATTTATTGCTGCAATGTAGGCTCCTCCTCCGAGCTTGCCCCGCATTTTCAGGTCTGAGCTAGGTGTAATCAACTTCCTGAATTTCTAGAAAATTGGAGAAATTGGAAATCATTACATTTTTCTTGGTCACAGACACACCTCTCTTTAACAGATCTATTATAAAAGGCTTTTCTCCTGCATGTCTGCCTCTCATTTCCGAGGGCACACCCTCAGACCTGCAGGCTGCACAATTCTGGATAAATCCCACCAGACCAAAGAAGGCAAAGCTCAAACCAAAGTGAATTTTTATGCTGATTTAATCATCCCGTTTCATGAAGACTCTCAGCACTGTGTTCTATTCTACGGCTACATTTTGTTTCTCATTTTATAATCAATGATGTCCACTGGAAAAAGCAAATATACCAGAGACAGCCGAGGTGTATTGAGCTGTGATAAAGCAAAATCTACTTTCTCTTTTCTAGCAAAGACATCCACAGCAAGGTTGCTGCTCACAGCAGGAGGCTGGCTCCTCAAGAAGCTCCCAGCTGGGATTCAAACAATCCTCTTGTCATTCTGGCAGGGAAAAGATAACGACCTGTCTGCAGTGCTGCAGCTCCAGCACAGCCTGCTCACCTGCAGGGGCAGGTGGGGCTGCTGCATTGAGGAAATATTGAATGGTTAGATTTGTGCAGACTTCCTTTTCTGACTCTCTGAGACAACTAAATCACAGACAATTCAGATTTAATTTCTATACCCAGTAAAGATTTCCTAGGCAGCCTCCAGGCTGTGTTTAATCAGCTGAACGGAGTATTTTGCAATATGGACAAAATGAGGCTTTTCTGCAATGTTGGAATCCCAAATGGCTGAAAAAGGTTTTTATTTTTGTTTCTTCCACTATTGCTTCCTTCACTGCCTTTCTTTGGAGCTCCCACAGAAAGGAGGAACATTCCAAGCTTAAATTGATAATAATCTCAGCCTAGACCTGAGCTAACCTGACACCAAATGTCAGAAGATTCCACTAAATCTCTTTATTTGCCTGAGCTTCTCATTCAGAGAGCTGAAATTAGGAAAACTGTCCAGAAAATGGCAGTGTGGGCAACCCAGCTCCTGGAGAAAATCCTGGCAGCACAACAAAAACCATGGGAAAAGGGAATGGCTGTTACAAACCGTGAGGGATTTGGGTGATGTTGCAGACATCTTAAGCTACAAATTGTGCTGGGACAGAGAACCTTAAATTGATTAGTTTACCACTGGCAGCAAAAAGCCCAACAGGAATTCACAATAAAGCAGAGAAAATTCAGAATAAAGCAGAGAAAGTTCAGAATTCTCTTTCCAGCGGCGGCTGAGAGCCCTAACGCAGGGAACAGGGATGTGGCACTGCTGTTGTGATTAAATGATGCAGGTGAGGAGTCCTACCCCCTCCCCAAGCAGATGGAATTTCCTTGGCTGGGCTGTGTATTTTTGATTAAAACAGAGAGCTGCAGCTCTCTCTCACCTCCATGAAGGTGCCTTCTGTCTTCCAGAGCTTGATGCAGATCCACAGCGGGATGCAGACCATGGAGGAGAGTGCCATCATCCACCCGATGCCGTAGCCCCAGTCAGGGTAGATGTACACATTGTTGTACTTCAGGGGCTTGTATTTCACCAGGAAAAAGATGAAGATTCCCTGAAACAAGCAGAGATATTGTCAGAGGTGTTTGGGCAAACCCTGCGTGTGTGACAAGGATTTGGCTGAGTGTTTAGACCAGGCTCCCTGAGGAGGGAGAGCAGAGGGAAGCTCTTCACTAAGAGCAAAAAACCCACCAGCAACATCCTCTTTTCTGTACAGCTTAAATAACACATCTCAGAGGCTCCTGCAGAAATGAGCAACCTTTCAAGTTTAATCCTATTTACCTCTTGATGACAACAAGCCCTGCACTTTGATGGCAAACAGCACCTGGGCAGGAAAGATTAAGTTTTGCTACAGTGAACCAGCTGTGATTCAGTAACATGAGCTGGGTTCTCTCCAACCTGTCAGGATGAAAAAAGAAAGCCAAAATTTTTGAAGTTGCTTTAATCCACTGTGTGTATCTGCAGTTCCAATGCTTTCATCCTGCCAAAACCCCTAAAAAATCTGTCTAAATTTCTAATCAAGCAGCTTGGACCATTTCAATGTATGAAATAGAAAAAAAGTTACCATGTAATTTTCTCTAAAGTGGTGAAATGACTGCACAAGAGAAAATGGTATAGAGGTAATTTCAGATTTGGTGCAGATGGGTCAGAAATTTTCCTGAGCTTGCAAATGGGAGCCTGGATCTCGAGGTAGCCCAGCTGCTGTGGTTTGCAATTGCCATCACTGGAATGTTACACAGCTGGAAAGGGGTTTTGGCATCTCATGCTCAATTTTAAGGGCAATCAGATCATGCTGCTTTGGAACTTTGTCCCCGTGACACTGCCACAGCTCTGCAGAGCTGGCACCAGCTTCCTTCCCCTCCTTCATGCCTGTGGGGTGGGCTTTTGGCTCTTCTGCTACTTTTGAAATTAAAAAATGTCTTGTCTCCTTTGCAAAATGTCCACTCCCCCCAAAAGAGAGAGGAGAAGGGAGGAGAAAGCAGCAAAGGATCCAGCACAAGTCTGGAGGAGCTCGAACTGTGTGTTGGCACACAAGGGCCACCAACTACAGGGAAAAACATCTCTCCTGTTCTTTCAAATGTTCATTTAGGGCCCTGGCATTATTTTTTTTTTCCCCCATGATTTTACATATTGAGATCTTTCACAGAATATTTAACAATTTTACAGATATTTAACAATATCCTACAGAGTGTTTTTATTTGAAATACATGCTACAAATCAACAGGCATTTCTCTCAGCTATTAGAAGCAGCAAAAATATAAAAAGCATGTTCAGAATATCATGTTCTTTATATCTAAAACAAGTGCTTTGGACATTCTGTACTTACTGCACAAATACCTGGAGTTAGGACCATCCAGCACCACTTAATCAACGACACAGGTTTGTACCCAATCATGTCTTCAATGTTCTCATAAAAGCGATTGCTGCCTGCCCAAAAACAAAGGAAGAGCAGATGTAGAGTGCACATGGAAGGGGTTGTCCAGGTCAGGGTTTAAAACAGTGGAGAGAAAGCACAGACAGAGCTGGGAAAGCTGAAGCTGCCCCTCTTTCCCTGGAAAACTCCTCCCTGCCGTCTGCCCCGTGCTCGTGGCAGGGGCTGATAAAAAATTCCTGCTGCTATCAAACTTTTATTTCATATAGATCATTGTATCTCTTATCAGAGAGGGAGATTTCATTAGTGTGGCACAAGCTGTCACGAAAATATGAACATTTCATTTCGTCCTACTCTCCTTTTTCCTCCACACCTTGAGTTTTGCTTTCCTTCAAAGCAAGCATAAGCCTAATATATTCTGCTTAGTTGGTTTCTTCTCTCTGTTGTGGAATCAGGCTGTAAAAAACCCCAGTCAAGGAGTATATCTTTTATATATAAATATATTTAGATTCTATATTTAGATGCTACAAGCTCGTGTGTGAACCCAAGGATAGCTGGGCACATGGGATCTGCAGTTCTATGGTGCTTTACAAGGTGAAATTCTCCAGAGTGTGAATCTTTGTGGAGAAAAAGGCATTTATGACTTTTTTTGGGGCATGGGAAAGTGGAAGGGTACAAGGCTCTCACTTTGCTTTTATGCAAACAGAAAACTTTGATCAGAAAAACAGAGCAATGTTCTTCACTCACCGTACACCCAGCCTATGCAAACACACTCAAATATGGCCACAAAGAGCAGACACATCCCACTGGCTGCATAGGAGTCAAAGAGCTGGAAGACATACATCCCACCCTGGAAGAGAAAATAGGAAAGGGGAAAAAAAATGGGTTGGCACCGGTGGGAATATTTCATAGCAAATCTCTTTTAATTACACTGTCAAGCTCTTTGCTCCCTGCCAAGCTTCCTATTCAAGTTGGTTTCTTCTTGAACAAAGAATATTAATTTCTTGGTTTTTTTATTTTACTCTGCACTTCTTTTAGGGTAGGAAATCTGGAGTGGAGAGAAGTAAATTTGATTTTTTTTCCAAAAATGCTCTCCCACCTCCCTGCTTTTACCTCTATTTATTACCACATCAAGCTGTAGATATTCCCAGGTGATTCTGACCTCCAGATCCTGGTTCTGTGTCGGTGTTATTAATATGTAAAATAATTGATTAAGATATGAGGAAAGAAGGTAAAATCTCTAGCTACCAAAATCCCTCTCTGATGGTTTAGGGACTACAAAATGAGTAAAGTGACCTAAAAAATGTGAATGGAGCTCACAGACTTGAAGCCACATGACTGAAACAAGTCTTTATTATTTGTCACAAAGGAAAAGGAATAAGAATCATCCAATCAATAACATTACAGTTAAAAAAATTAAAATTATATGGGTAATATTACACTTTTTCTGTGAGACACAATAATTTATCACATCTGCATTTACTATTGAAATAATGAGGAGGAGGAATTCACAAGAGAGCTTTTCAATGAAAGGAATTCCAAGGAAGGAATGAGGGGCTTGAGATGAGCTCCTCAGTTGGAATGAAATGTTTTTGGGGAGCTCATGTGATCCATTACATCTCAGACAACTTTCTGCAGATGGAAGAGAATCCTAAAAATAGGAAGAAAACAAAATTTCTACTGCAAAGTCATCATGGTGAGGCTCAGCAAATACCTGAGCAAAATGCAAATTTAGAAAAAACCAACTCAGACAATACAAGGTAAGGAGAACAAAACTGCGTGGATATTCCTGCAGTTTGGAGAACTTGTTTCCTTTTCACTCTTCAGGTTTATATAATTTTTTTAGCTTGAATATCTTAATGTCTCTCTTTTCAAAACATGCCCTGTGGAGGGGTTATTCCAAGATTTTCCTTTTTGCATAACAAAGATGATTTCTTTCACTGAGAATAAGAATGATTTACAGGCAAATATAAAGCCAATAAGTATATAAAATTTCTGTTCAATGTGTTATTTCACACAGAGCATCATATCTCTTATCAGAGAGGGAGATTTGATGAGTGTAATTAAATATTAATGTTCCAAATTCCAAATTATTCCAAGTAGGAAGGGACACATCAGAGATTGGCTGCACTGATTGACATGGCTGATGATCTGGAAGCCAAAGATGGTTTGATTTTCTCTTTTCACTTTATTTCATCTTCTTTATTGTTCTTTCCATCCAAAATGTGGTTGCTCCTGCCCAGGGTAAGCACGCAGAAACCGTGATCAGTGTGTGTGGCTGGTGGGTGCAAAGCAGATGGAATTTCCTTGGCTGGGCTGTGTATTTTGGATTAAAACACTTCCTGAGCTCAGCTGATAAAACAAGGCCACTTCTCCCATTTCAGAGATTACAGAGGAGCCGAGAACAGTCTCTCAAAGAATTGTCAGTGGTGATTGTAGCCACAAGTGATTCCCTCTGAGCTCTTACCTCAGTTAACATGATGAGGCCGAGGAAGTAGGAGACGACGGAGAGGCCGAGGATGAGCAGCTCCCTCCTGTAGCCCCTGCGGAACACCTTGGGGTACATGTCCACCACGGCTGTCACGATGCTTTCCACACACACAAACTGCAGCAAAGGACAGCAAAGATCCAGTCAAATCTCTCTCCTCTGCTGCTGGCATTGGGATTTGCCACCTAACGCTTTAAACATCCTGCTGTGTTTTCATCACAGAGGGTGGGCAGTCCCTAGGCATGCTCCATAAGCAGAAGGTCAAGCAGAGAGGAACCTTCTCCCACTGAAAACATCCAAAGTTATGTATTTCCACCAAATTCAAACACTTGGATTCTCTAATATTATCCCAGACTGCGTTTGCCCTGTAGCGGGTGGACTAAATGAAAATTAAACCTTTCAAATGTGGCTTGAATGGGAAGGAAATCATGTACAAACCTTCCATGGGATCATGTCACTCCAGGCACTTTTGCCAATTTTACCATGCATCCTCTAACCTGCTAAAGGAGCAGCAGAGTTTGGGGGAAGTTCTCTCCATTTACCAGAAGAGAGAAGTTCCCCAGAGCTGTTGTGTGCCCAAGCCAGGTACCTCTAACAAAGGAGGGCAGGAACATCTTCAGTGTCTTTAAACATCAAAGAAGCAAAAGGCCTGAGCTTTTGACTCCTTGCTCTGGAGCAAGGTTTCTAAAACAGGCCCCAAATTAACACCCCAAAATAGAACATAGGAACAGTCAAGAGCAGAATCCAGGATCTGCTCACTTAAAAAGAAAAAAAAAAAAAAAGACTTTTAAGAACCTGTTAGATCATTAAAAAGAGCAGTTATTAAAACATTAAATTTAAGGATTGCAAATGTCATGCAGCACAAGCACTGCTGAGCTTTAGAATCATAAACTTTGTGCACCCAGTCATGCCAAGGGCTGAGCAGCATGCTAAAAATCCCAGGCACTTCACGCTTTTCTTCGAGCAGCTTTTGTAATTTTTACAGTCACACAGGGACAATGAGTTCTGTGCTGCCCCTCTGCTGCAGGATATGACTGCGCATTCCTTGCTATGGTATCGTGCAGTAAAAATATACCATAGAAAATGACATTATCCCTATCTGATATTCAGCTCCAAAATTCATTGCAAAGTGCTTTAAGAATGGGCTGGTATTTTACTGAAGCATGAATTTTAATCAGCCCTGTGGAAGTTCAGACTGATTTCCATGTTAATAATGAAAGCTGGAATCAGGCTGAACCAGCCTTTGCAGTGAATCGTCAAGGAATACCCAGCATCACAACAAAGACCTAAAATAGCAAAGAATTAAGTTAGGGCTCAGACTTTCATCAGGCTGATGCTCTTTAGGTGTGACTTCCACCTGCTGGGGAGGCTGAAAACTCCTTGCAATGGGGTTTGTTTCATACCTGGCTGTCCAAGCCCAGGAAGATGAGCATCATGAAGAACAGAGCTGCCCACAGAGGAGACAGAGGCATCATGGTGACAGCTTTAGGGTAAGCAATGAATGCAAGTCCTGGTCCTGGAAAGGAATAAAGAAATAAAATTTATACTTGTGTAGGAGTCTGAGATGGAGCTCAGCTCCTCCAGAGCAGCCTGAGCTGTGGGAAAACAGCACTGCTGACACCAAAAAGGTGGCTCTGGCTGAGCAGGGCTCACCCAGCATCACTCATCAGACTGCTTTATCATTTTCTCACCTTTTCTCTTCCTGTTCCCTTCCCCATCCCCTGTGGAAGCTGAGAGTGGACAGCAGTGAGGATGCCCAGCTCCTGGTCAGGGTCAGCCCACCACAATCTGACTCTTCTGCCAGGGCAGATAAGAGGAACTCAACCCCAGACTGAACTCCTTGACAAACTCCACACCTCTCATAGTCTAAACAATTGGTGATGAGGCTTATCAGAAATGGCACAACCTTGCCTGCACCCTGGCCAAAGGATGCTCAGCTGCTGCTCAGACATCCCAGTGCTCTCTGTTCCCCTGTTTTGTGTGGCTGTGCAGCTCTACAAACATCCCTGAATAAATCATAGCGTGTGCTCCTGTGATTGCCTTACATAACTTAGGAACATATCCTGGAGTCTTTATATATAACTTAGGAACATATCCTGGAGTCTGTACTTTTCTCCTAACCTGGTGCAAGGCAAAGGTTGGTTCCCATCCTGATCTGTGTTTTGGGGTGCTGCTTCTGCTGTATGACATTGACTACACATTTAGAGAAATCTTCGAAACAGAACATTTTTGTAACAGCACTGATAACTTCCCAGAGCTCCTAAAATACCTTTCTCCTTGCTCATGCTTTTCTGGTTTTATTTATCAGCTGCTTTTTATGAAGCCAGCCATCTTTCAAAGCAGGGGCACAAAGGGCCTCTCCCAGCCACTAAAGGAGAGCTCTGTGCTCCTGTTGCAGTAACTTCAGTGCAGACCTGTCACACTCTGCTGCTTCCTCATTTAAAGCAGCATTTACAAGCTCCTATAATGAACTGCAAGCCAGTTGCATGGAATTTAGGAAAAGATAAATATTTTCCATGAGAGCATCAGTGAAACCCTGCTTGTTTTGCAGTTCTCCTGGGATTAATTCCACGAGAGTCATTTTTCCTACTCAATAGCTCAGCATTACACTGGGATGTTTTTTTTTTTTTTTGGTGTTTTTTGTTTTTGTGTTTGTTTTTGGTCTTGTTTTGTATTTGTTTTTGGTTTTGTTTTTGTTTGGGTGCAGCTTCCTGTTATTGTTCTTCTGCTTGTGGATGTTACAGCCAGAAAGGTGTGGAGTAACTTCCATTGGATGCCCAGCTCCAATGGTGGTAGTGGATGGTTAATTCTTCATAAATCTGGGCCTGTGTGCCCTTCTGATTTCTCACTTTAACAGCTGCTGCTTTTTTTTTTAATATCCTTTTTCATTTTTTTTTTTTTCAGAATGAATAAATATTTGTGCATTTCAGTCTGTCTCACTGAAAGAAGGTGGAATGCAGATGAGGATTAACACTCACAACTGAGTTTATCTCTGCTAAACAACATTCTGGATGCTCAGCTGGAGAAAGTTTGTGTAGTTTGTGACTCCCTGAATTGATTAATGTGTTCTATGCACAGCAACATTCACCTTTTTCCCACACAAATGAATGGCTACTAAAATAGTTCAGAAGTCTTCCTGCAGCAGTTATTTTATTGAGTCATCTCATCCACAGGCCATGGCACAGACTGTGAACTCTGGCCTCACCCTCTGGGCATTTCTTGTGAACTCAGAAATCTGCTTTTGGAACTCACCTGATTCTGCAACTTCTGCAATGGGCACGCCTTGTTCATAAGCCATAAATCCAAGAACTGAAAAGATAGCAAAACCAGCAACAAAGCTTGTGCCACTGTTCAAGCAGCAGAGCATGATGCAGTCTCTGAAAATATAAATAAAAAACACTGCAGTTGATCTCCAGAGCTGGGGTTTCTTCCATCCGCTGAGCCAGAGAATGACAGAACCCTGGGCTGCAGGAATGGAAAGCAAGTTGTTCATTAACAGAGAGTTCCCAACTCAGATTATTCCTGAGAACAACCAGGAATTAGCACGTGCAGGAGGGCACCTTTCTTGTGTTTTAACTGCTGGAGTTGCAAACCTGTTGCAAGTCACTTGCTGTTTTCCAGTAAAATCTTTCAAAAACATGTAAAACTTTGTCAAACATGTAATATTTGTTAAGAACAATTTCTCCCTAATAATTATACTGATAAATTCCAGAGGGTATGAACTCATGAATAAACTCTATAAAATGGTAACATTTGTTTCCTGGAAAAAAAAAATCCAGTGGTCAGCTCCTTCTATCCCTGTTAAAGAACATCGGCAAAATATATCCATGTAAAATACAGCTGCAGTTGGGTTTCTAGACATATTTAAGAGGCTGTGGTAATGAAAAGAACTGCACATAATCTAGAAGTGTGTGCATGCCTAAAAAGGTGCCCAAAAAGAGGCAAAGGCAATGCAGGGACAGAGATGTCTCAGACAAACACATCCCACACTTCAAACCATGGCAAGGACAAGGCCAAGGGGAAGAAGGATTTCTTTGCCCAGGCTGGAAACGTCACAAGAGTAAATCACTTTAAAGAAAGGGAAGATCCTCTTGCAGAAAGGTGTGATTTCCCCCAGAGCCCAGGGAAATATTGTTCCTGCTGCTCTGACAGCTCTCCAGGCGTGACAGAGGATGAGGCAGTGATGATTTAGGCTCACAGTCACTCCTTGAAGACTTTGCAGAGACAGCTGTGTGCTTGAGAAAGTAATAACCTAACCTGGATGTCTGAGGTGAATTAGACATCTGAAACACATGGCAAGCCTAGAGATGTCTCAAGCCCATCCCTTAATCTGCTTTATCCCCATTCCACTGTGGCTCCGAAGCAAATTTTTGTGCAAGTTATCAATAAGAAGAAAGGACCCTGTAAAATCCAGCAGGTTCTGAATTCACAACTTCAATAATTCAGTAAAGGATCACATCTTTGTCACAGATTTGCTGTTAAGAATCAGAGACAATTCCTACTTCAAAGTCCTGGCAATTATTCTCTCAAAACTTCTCTTGCTGTTTTTCTCATTTAGTATTTTTACCCTCTAACAGCATCTCATCAGTTTTTGGAGCTCAAAGTGAGGTGAGAAGTTCCAGCACCTTGTTCCTTCCCTGATGAGCCCTGCAGTGTTCCCCACATCTGCCCAAAGCTCTCCTGGCTCCCCTGGGACTCACCTGAGCACCAGGCACACACATTCCCCTGGCAGGGAGCACCTGGGCATTCCTGAGCTGCAAAGCCAAGGATCAGCTCAGCCTCTGTGCCATGGGAGGCTTTGTCATCATCCCAGCTACACTTCACTGTAACTATTAATTTGGGAAGGTTTATGTTTTCACAACAATTTCAGGATAAAAATAATCTCTGTGACACAACATCTACAAATTGCTAAAAGATGTCCAGCAATGAAAAATAATGAATATTCCCATTTGTAATGGAGACTCAGACATGGACAAGTGCAGTGATGTTCACACTTCTTTCATGCCCTGACTTTCTAACACTTCATTTGCAGTGAAATACTTGCTGAAAATGCAATTCTAACCTTTATTTATTTGTATATATTTCATATGAAGTTCTCCCCATAGTTATGCCCAGTCAGGCCAGTTCTACACTTTGGATGTTTTAAAGCAAAATAGCAATCCAAAGTAAAGGACTGAGGAGCACAGAAGCCTTTGTGCTTTGCAGAGATACAAAACAATGAACAATCAGCCCCTTCCTGACCTTCTCAGTGAATTTCAGCTCTGAAGAGCTCTGGAGGGACTCTCACCCCACCTCTCTCACCTCAGGAACCGGTGAGTTCAACACCGAGAAATTAAATCTGAGTGTGATGAAACCCTGTTGATAAGAGAGGTCAGAAAGATGAATTTTATAATCCTCTGGGGGAAAAGAGAGCTCCAGCTCTGGAGGGGCATGCAGCCAGATGATGCCTCCACTGAGCACTGGGCTGTTTTCTTCAGATAAGATTTGGTTTAGATAATTCCCTGCTTCAAATGCAGTCGGAACAAGATATCTCCTTCTGAGGAATGCTGTGGAACAGGCTATTTGGGAGCTGCTGCTTCCTGAGTGGGGGATAAAGGTCCTGGCAGTGATGCCTCAGGGTTTGGCTCTTATATTTCCAGACTCTGAGCTGCTCTAGTGTGTGGGTCTGGGCTTCACATTGTGGGATGGTGAGCTCTGCACAGAGCAGGGAGACAAAACAATTCCTGCTCCAGCTGGGCACCAAGGACAAATGACCCAAACCTCAGCCCAGGAGCACAAACACCGTGGGCTGGAGAGAGAAAAACAAGCAGGATGGGACTGACGGGCCGGAACCGGAAAGGGAAAAAGAAACCCAAAGGGCCAAAGGAACAAAAACGAACCCAAGGAAAACCCCCGGGAGCGCTCGTGCATTTTGGGACCATTTTGGGTCATTTGGGTGCAGCCCTGGCTGGGCTCTGGTGCTGCCCAGGGTGGATCCATGGAGGAGATCCTTTAATAAATCCCTGCTTTATTCTTTGGCTCTGTCCAGCACCTGTTCTAGGGCAGCCTTCCCAAGGCATCAGAGCCCAGCTGGACAGTCCCACAGAACAAGAGGATCCCAGGGATCTCCTCTCTCAGGGAAGTCTGGCAAACCACAGCACCAGGGTACAAATATCTGCAGGATAAGTACACATTTCTGCAAGGAAATGGGGAAAAGGGGGATTTTCATCCCCTCCAGCCAGTGAGGTTCCTGTCCTTTTCAAATAACACCACCCCAGCTGAATCATTTAATCCCAGGGAGGCACAGATAGAACACAGCTTCTGTGGGAACCCTCATAAAAATACAACTTCCAATTTCCCTGCCCTTGGCTATCCAGAAGTTCTACCAACCCCTCAGCTCCTGGTTTTTATCCCATAGGCAGAAATACCCTGTTGTTCATGGGTTTTTTTCAGCTATGAGAAGAAAAACCAGAAGAGGGATTCGGATCCATTCATTGTGAAACCAATGAGTTTTAAAACACAAATGCTCAGGAACCATTGGAAGGACAACATGAATTTTTTATGTGCACCCTTGGCAGGAGGACATCAGAGCCTGACTGAAGCCCAGACTGATTTCAAGTGAAAGGAAAAGTTCAAATTTTTATGAAAACTTCACATTCTTCCAAATTAATCTCCTGCCAATCACCTGAATAATTCAAGATGTGCATCACTTCTCCTCTCCCTGCCTGACAGGCAGGACACTTCTGAAAATTCATCCTACTTTCCTTAAGGAGCCTCTCTGAGCCCACAGAGCCTCTGGCATCCCTCCAGTTCCTTCCTTGCCTTTATAGATTCCATAGGACCCAATGGAGAATTTCTCTTTTCCTCCTAGACCAGAAACTTGACATGGACAAGTCTTAAAAGTTTTGTCCATGTAGGAAATCACTCCTTTATCTCCTGCTCCACAGTGGGAACAGAGGAACTGACCCTGGGCTTGTACCTGGGAATGGATTTGGGATTCCGAGCTGGATAAAATCAGAGGAAGCATCAGTACACCTGTCTGTGATCCCTGTGAGGAAACACTGCCAGGGCTTTCACCTTCTCAGAGGAGTCACTGGGGATGCAAACTCTGGGACATTCAGGGAGGAGCTGGTTTTATGTTTTTCAGTGAAAGATACATAAGGATGACAAAAATTCATTTCCTATTCAAAGACATGAAGTGACTTTTGCAATTCATTTACCACATTAATGAATTAAATAAGGTTTAAATCTTAAATTCACAAGCCCACATGCAGTTCAGACTTTCCCATTTCCCACTGAAATACCTCTTGCCATTATTTTCTACTGCAATTTTACCTTAAGGAAAAGAATGGAGTAAAACAGAGCAGAAAACGTTGATGTTACAATCAGACTGTGGGAATTGCAGGAGAAAAAAAACCCAGCTTGATTTTATTTTTTTTAGTGCTGGTTAGAATACAAAATCGTGGTTTTCACATCAGAGCTCTGTTTATGTATTGCCATGCCCAGCCTGGCCACGTTCTGCTCTTCACTGCTGTCCTACCCCTTCCTTCAGACTCATTAAAAATCACATGCCAGGACACATTAACATCTATTTCCTAGCTGGGAAATTTGGAAAATGTTTTGTGAGGGGAACTGTGGGGCCTGGATGGAATAAAAGGTGTTTGGCTGCAGCATCCTGCTCAGGAGCTTCAGAGCAGAGTTTTTCCAGCTGAGCTCCAGGCTCAGGGGGAAGGAAGGAAAATTCCATAAATCCAAACTCCTGCTTTTTGTAAAAAAACAAACAAACAAAAAAACCAAAAAAAAACCCAAAAAAAAACAACTCAGGAAAAGCATTCCTGCACTCCTTGAGGCACTAACCGTTTCTAGATGGGATACAGCTGGAAATAAATAGAAATAAAACTGAATAAGAGAGGAGTGATGCCTTTGCCAAAGCTTGTGCTAATTAGGGAAAAGGTTCATTAGCAGCAGCTCTGAAGGTTGTAAGGGTCTCACACCACTTTCTGCAGCAAAATATTTCATCTTGCTAAGACATGGAAAGAAGGAGCATTTCCTAAAACTGCCTCCTGAGGTCCCCAAGCAAAACTGTAAATGAGAATTTAAATAAATTTAGTGGGGGGATTGTTTAGGATTCTTTCACTTTTGGACCATGTCATTTCCTTTACAGAAAAATGATATTTTAATTCTCGGTCTGGAGATCTTAATGGAGTCACTACAACCAAATTGTCCTTGTAGGAATTTTAGGAGAATGAATTCAATAACCATGAATTCCAGAAGAAATAACTAATGCTCATATTGCTGCCCATGCCAGTAATGTGGAATGGGGATTTTGTGCAGATCAATCCTTCAGGCATTGACTCAGGAGAGGTGAAAACCTCCTGAAGTCATTGGCAATTCCCTCCTTGGGAATGCAGAGATAAGCCATGAAATGCTCCCCATTCCCTCTGGGCTGGGGCCTGCAGACTTCCCAAAAAATGGGGAAACGTGGCAGTCAGAGCACAGACCAAACTGAGGTGATTTTTAATGGCAATTTTTGGTAGTACTTTTTAAAAAGCAGCTTAAGTAATGCAGACACATTCAATGATACCTGTCTGAAACCCTGTATTTTTACATGAAATGTCTATCTCTGTGTGAAAAATGCAAATTTTATGATTGGCTTTTCACAAATGTTACAATGAATATTATATGTGTAATGTTAGAAAGTTATGCTGTATTAATTCTCTTACGTAGTGTGTTAAATAGTTTTAGGTTACAACATAATGTTAAAATAGAAACTCTGCAATATGGGATTTGTTACAAGCTCAAGCAGGAAGATGAGATAATCAAAAAATTCTTCACACAGAGATGTCAGCAAAGGGGGCCCATAAAAAGTTCCAGCCTCCTTATCAGAAAAGACAAAAATTATTCCACCTTCTCTCTGTCTTTATGGAACCACCAGGATTAAGGAGAAGAAATTGATAAAAACCAGAAAAGTTCTTAATTTGCAAGGAATTTATGCATCATGTATGAGATATATGAATATGCAACAGGCTGTTGTTTTTAAGGTTATTCCTTTGTTCACAAGGGATGCTTCTCGTGACTTAGTGTCCGAGAGCATCCGGACGTCCATAATTCTTTGATTTTTATTGTCTTGTAATTGTCCTAACTCTAAATTTTATTACTCTAATTGTATTACTATTTTTATAATCATTTTATTATTATGGAACTTTTAAAATTTTAAAAACCAAGTGATTGGTGTGTGCTGAGGGGTTGTGGAAGTCTCAGATTTGACCAAAAGGGATGAAAACACGTTTTGGAGCAGAGCTCCTCTGGAGCAGTTCCAAGAAACATTACAGATCTCTGTCCTACAAAAACACGTGTGTGTGTTTATGGTCATCCACAGAAAAAGGGGAAGGGAAGTGGTTCCAAATGTCAGCCCAAGAGCAGAATCCCAGGCTGGAGGCTGTTACCTGTAGCAGTTGTTGTTGTAGTTGTTGTAACTCCCCAGGGCTGTCAGGCAGCCCAGGCAGATGGCGTAGGAGAAGAAGATCTGTGTGCCAGCATCCACCCACACCTGGAGACAGAGAGCAGGGAGAGCTTCAGAACCCAGCCAGGAGAAATCACCCTCCTGCCAAATATTGGCTGCAAATCTGCACAGGCGGCTCTGCACCTTACGAGGGTCTGGCAAAGCTTTTACAAATCATAACCTTAAAAAATTATGTGCTGAGAGGGAAGTTCCCCTCCCCGTCCCAGCTGGTCTTTAAAAGCTCAGCCTAAAGGGAGACAGAATTCCTAGAACGAAAAGGGAGACAGAATTTCCATTCCTGGAATGGAAAGGCAGATAGAATTCCTAGAGAAGAAACTCACCCATTCAATTCATTAATTTCTTTTAGATAATTTTAGTAATTGCAAATAGAATCAGCAGCAATTATCTCACTCCTGGTGGACAGTTATTTATTCAAATTTTAAAATTTAATGTGAATAAATGCTCTAAAGACAAAATGTGCTATTCCTAGATAATAGATAAATTAAGCTGGGGAAAGAAGGGATAACTTATCTAGGGAAAGGATCTTTTCAGCAAAATTTAATGGATCCAACAGGCACAAAGTTACAGTTCTGGTCACTGTACAATCAACAAATAAAAATTCTGTAGAGCTTAATGGGTCAGTAGCTTTGTAATGCCATTGTGGGAACATTCATATCCTAAAGTGATGCAAACAATTTTAAATCAGAAAAACGGAAGCGTGAGTTGACACAGTGAGATTCTTCTCCTCAGAGCAACCTCAGAACATTAATGAGCAGGTTCATTTTCCTTTAAAAGTACTGCAACAAAGCAATTTATTTCACTTGACCAGTGTGGGCGTGTTCCCACTGGAGCTGAAGGTACCCCCTGAAGTCCTGGTTTAACATGAGAGTGACATGGAGAGCCCAAACCCACAGAGCTGCCATCCAATAAAATCCTGCCCCTGTTTTCCTGGGAGAAATGATCTCTTTAAGCCCTTTGTTAAAGCAGAGCAACCAAACAGCAAACCCTGAGCGAGGATCAGAGGCAGTGGCTGTGCAGCCACTCCAGCCAGGGAAGAGGGAGCACAGGGAACGATTTCAGTACTAATAACAGCCATCAAATCCTCCTAAACACACTAAGAGGATGTGTTTGTTTTACAGCTGATCAAGTGAGACCTTGCTCTCTGGAGCTGTTGAGTGCTTCTGCTTAGAAATAACATTAAGATCACATTCGATTTCCATCAGAGGCTTAAAGAGTTTCGTTGCTGTCGCCCCGAATAAGACACAGCTGGTTACATCCCACAGCTTCACCAGGAAAAGCTGCACACAGAGAGGCTTTTGACAGACAGGCTCTTTAACAAGACTGGAAGCTCCCAAAAAGCTGTGAGGAGCGTGGGTCAGCTGAAAATGCTCCGTCTGCAGGGCTCAGATGAAAGCTGGGAAACTGGATCAGCACACGGATCCTGCCCTTCCCTCCATGGCTGCAGGCAGGCACTGAGAGGAGCAGCAGCCCTTCTGCTGGCACAGCCCCACGGGGATTGTCCCCGTGTCAGCATCAGGAGCACACAGAATCACAGGATATCATTATCTGCACGTGCTTTTATTGAGAGCCCAGGGAATCGGGGGTCCAGACCCAAATCTGACTCCAACATGGCTTTCGAGCTCAACGAATTTTATATTCTATCCTTATATAACTTACATGTTAATTATTAAACTGATATTGTTCTATTGTAAACATTGACTTTATTCAAGCACAAGTTTGTCATGATCTTTCTTAGCTCCCTGACCACAGTTTCTCATGATTATTCTTATGATTAAACAGTAATTATATTTAATTACTAAAAAATCATCACATCTAACAATTATATCATTTATCATGTACTAGCTACACAGGTGAAGTTCTAGCAAGGTACAAGGCCTTCATGTACCTAGGGTATTTATTTTTTCAGGGCCTACTAAGTTTACTAAGTTTCCTTTTAACCCTAAAGCCCCATGATTTTAAAACCCTTTTACTATCACCTGCAGGGCCAGTCCTGCTGCAGCTGGGCCAAAGGAGAGCTGTGCTGGAGGGGAACAGCTCCAGAGCTGCTGAGCACAGGAGCAGAGAGCACATCCCTGTGCCCAGACAGGCAAACAGATCAAACTCTGGCCACAAGTGATGCTGTGTCCTTCAAAGGGAGCAGAGACTGTCACACCCCACAAGGAGTCAGCCTAAAAAGTGGCAACCACTCTGAGAAACCTCTTCTGCAAGGAAACAGTCACATAGTCTGTACAACCGGAGTCAGACTGAAGAGAGGTTGTGTTGCACTCTATGACATCAGTCTAGAAATTCCCCAGAACTTAGGGCTGATGTTTAAAACAGGAATGGAGAAGCAATTTTATTTGATGAATGGAATAATATAATCTATATAGCTTCTTTTGGGTTGTACACTCAGAGAACAAGTGACATTTAATTCATTCAGGTTTCTAAAATGGCAAGAAGTGATCAGCAAAGTGGCAAACAGGAGCACAAATTTAGAAACCACAGGGAGATTTTCTGTGGCTGAAAAACCCAAGAGCTGGGGTAACCCTGGTGTTACTGCCAGACACACCAACACTTTCAGGCCCTGAAGGTGACATTTCAGATCAGTTCTCCATCCCCTTCCCCAACAGCCAGGATCCATCTGACATTTAACCTCAGACTGCAGCGCTCAATTCGTGGCAGGAGAGCTTGGAGAGGTCTCAGATTGTTCATTAGTCTAATTGCTCATTAGTCTGTGTCACTCCAGTTTGGTCATTCCCAAAGGGCACCTCAGGGGAAGTTGTTCTCATGCCAACTTGATGGACCCTTGTAGACACCAATCCCAAATCCAGGTGCCATCCCAGGTGCCACCCACCTGGCTCACAGCCACAAAACCATTATGGGATATTTCTGAGTGCTGAGTCTGCCTTACACCAGAAGCTGTTCCCCTTTCTGTGCAGAGCAATGACATTCTGAAGGGACACAGAGGCAGACCTGGGGCAGCAACTGGGACCAAAGAGGACATCTGGCTGAAAGGTGACCCAGCTCAATACTTCTCTGCCATGAGTAAAGACCAGAGAAACACCAGAGAACACCCTGTGGGTGCTTTATGAACTTTGGACCTTGAAAACCCTTAGGTCAGTGATAATAAATTCAATTTAGCACTCACAAGCTTGGGATTGGAATTGTTTTCTAGTTTCTATCAGCTGCTACTTTAAAGGATGGATATATATATATTTATTTAGCTTTATTCAACTCATATTAAAAGTTTCCTTGCCCAAACGAGATTAAAATTAAAGCTCAAAAACTTTGATAACTAATCCAGATATTTGAAAAGTCACAATTTCAAAGGACAGAACCTTACAAAACAATAAACAGGAGCATTTTCTACTAAAAATGGAAAGTGCTGCTCTGCAACATCCAGCTCTCGGCAGTGCCCCCGCTTTAACTCTGTCTGGGTGACCTCAATTTGGCCTTCTTGTGGCAGGTCTAGGACACAATCTCCATTTCCATGGGTGTTTTCTCTGCCCAGGGAGATGAATTGAGCTGGCCAAAGACAGGATGCTGCTGTCTGGAGGATCCCTTGCCTCCTTTGTGGCTCATGCAGTGAAAGCAGGAGAAGGAAGAAAGGAGGGGGATGTGCTGTAGTGCAGACAACAGAGCCCTGCTCTGGAGAATTAGGTTCTTTTCATGTCCCTGCCATAAAGTTCCTATGGGATGTTATGTCCATAAATCACTTCAAGCAACCTTTTCTCACATGCTACTTGACTTGGCTATCCCCTAATGGGTGTCCAAAGGGAAGGAGAAAGTTACTGAGCACTCACTGCTGCAGATAAAGTGAATTAAAGTCACTTCTTGAAAAACTAAAAAAAACCCCACAGTTTAACAAACCAACCTCAAACTGAAAATCCCCAGAAGAGTGACAGCCCCTCATTTTAGTCTCAATATAAAAGTCTTTCTGTCAGTAAGATGGGGTCATGCCATACACTGAAAATAAAAGAAATGAGGTATCTGAAGCACATAGCCAGAGCAGAAATAAGTCCCTTTGCAAGGCTGAGACATTTTTTTTTGTGATGATCAAGCCTTATGCAGTGAATTTAGAGGGCCAAGAAAGGGGGTGAGAGGGATAAACCAAAATATTGCATAAGTGTCCTGAGGTGAGTTCAGTGCCTGAACAAAGCAGAGACCCCAGGGACAACCTGTGATGTGTTGATGTTGATTATTTCCATCATGCATGGAACAAAAAGCAATTCCTTCAGGTGGAATAAAAAACAAGTCATGGAATTGCTGTTTCTTTTGGAAAAAAACAAAATAATGGAATAAAAACCAATTCCTTCAGGTGAGCACCTGAAGGAATATCTCAAATTCCAGGGGTTTCTCTAACTTTGTACCTTCCCTTTACTTTCTGTACTCTCTGGATATATTTTGAACAAGCTATATTGCGAGTGTTATAAAATCTTTCTGTGGATGCAGGAAGCCTCTCCCAGGACACTGACTTTAACTGGCACTTCCTCCATGACAAACAGCTGAATAGCTCAACAATTTTTTTGTAATTGTGTAAAAAAAATTGTGTAAAATTGTTCCATGTCTGGGCAACATGGGACAATCAGGCAGCTATTTTCAGTCTGATCCTCCCAAAAGATAGGCAGGGCTTTTTAGGAAAAGAAAATATATTCTGATGTCATCTGAGAAGGTTAATTTTACAGCCCAGGGGCTGATGTGCAGCTTCTCTCGTGTGGGTAAAGCAGCACAAACATCCCCCCTTCTCTTTTGGCAGAATTCTGAATTCCATTTCACAGGTTTGTGTGGAATTCCGTTGCACAGATCCGTGGGACACTGCTCAGGGGACAGTCTGGGGTTCCAGGGTCATGGCTGGGCTGCCACATCCAAGGGTCTGCACGTGAACAGGAACAACAGCGGAGCACCAGGAGGGCTCTCCCAGTAAATAAAATCAATATATTGGTTTTCTGTCTGCCCCTGGCCTTTCCTACAGCCCACACAGCTCTGGTTGCTCCCTTGAGAATTCCTGTCAAAATCAAAGGTATTAATTTCACATTGAAGCCCAAGCA